CCCTCCAGAGTAGAGATTCCCTAAAAAAGCAGGAATCTGCCCCCAAAAGCAGGGATCTGCCTCAAAAAGGAGGAATCGCCACTGGAAAAGCAAGAATCAATCCCTAAAAAGAAGGGATTTCCCCCTAAAAGGGCAGGGATCCAGCTCCAAAAGTAGGAATACCCCTCTAAAAAGCAGGAATCCCAATCCCAAAAGTAGGGACTGCCCCTAAAAAGCAGGAATTCCCCTCCAAAAAAGCAGGGATTTCCCTCTAAAAAAGCAGGAATTGCGCTGTAAGAGCAGGGATCATCTCAAACTTCCCCTCATTCCCCCACATTCCATCCTGGATCCTGATGGATTTGGGCCCCCCCTCCCGTCGCTCACCGGCTGCGCGGGAGGCATCTGCCCCGGCATCACCTGCTGGGGAGGCATCGCTCCAGGCGGGATTCCCCCGGGAGTCATTCCAGGAGGCGGGATCATCCCAGGCGGGGGCATGTAGGGTGGCTGCCCGGCCATGTGGTGCATCATGCGGGGCGCTTGGCTCAAGGGCGGCATTCCCTATGGGATAAAGGGGGTTGAAAAGCCCGGCCTTCCCGCTCGGCTCCATTCCCATTCCCTATGGACGCACGGGAACGCTGCCCTGCACCGGTGCTGCGGCTCCTGCTCCGCTCTTCTTCCCGCTGGGAGCTTCCTGCCCTTTGGGTTTCCTCTTCTCCCGCTTCCGATCCCGCTCCACGAACGTTCCCTTCATCTTGGCAATGATGTCGGAATCCGTCTTGGCATATTGGATGCGCTGTGGGATGAGTGGGAATGCCGTGGGGAGGGAGCCATAGGGAATTCCCATAGGACTCCCCAAGGGTTTGGCATGCTTGGGCTGGGGGATGCGCCTGAGGTGAGCGGGAATGCCGTGGGAAGGGAGAGGGACCTGCAAGGAATCCAACCTAAAAAAGCAGGGATTCACCCTAAAAAGCAGGAATCCCTCCCCACCCACCAAATAGGGATCCATGGGAATGCTGTGGGGAGAGATCCATACGGGGTTCCCACACGGAATTCCCATTGAGAAGGGCTCGCCATGGGTTTGGCAGAAAAGCCCTGCATGGAGCTGTGTGTGGGATCACCCTGAGCTGAATGGGAACACCAGGAGGAAGGATCCATAGGGAATTCCCATTGGGAATGCCAGGAAGGGCTCATCATGGGCTTGGCATAGAACGGGAAGTGCTGCCTGGACCACAGGGCGCTGCTGAGGTTACAATGGGGATGCAGTGGGGCTGGATCCCTATGGAATTCCATGGGGAAGGGCTCACCATGGGCTTGTCATAGAAGGGAAAGCCCTGCATGGAGCGCAGGGCGCTGCTGGGGTTACAATGGGGATGCAATAGGGATGCAATGGTGCTGGATCCCTATGGAATTCTGCCGGGAAGGGCTCACCACGGGCTTGTCATAAAAGGGGAAGCCCTGCATGGAGTGTAGGGCGCTGCTGGGGTTATGATGGGGATGCAATAGAGATGCAATGGGGATGCAACGGGGCTGGATCCCTATGGAATTCCGCCAGGAAGGGCTCACCATGGGCTTGTCGTAGAAGGGGAAGCCCTGCATGGAGCGCAGGGCGCTGCTGGGGTTACAATGGGGATGCAATGGGGCTGGATCCCTATGGAATTCCGCCAGGAAGGGCTCACCATGGGCTTGTCGTAGAAGGGGAAGCCCTGCATGGAGCGCAGGGCGCTGGAGGCGCTGCTCAGCTCCTTGAAGATGACAAAGGCCTGGCCCCGGAGCCGCAGGCTTCGCGCCACCAGGATGTCCAGGATCTGCCCAAACTGGGAGAAGATGGCATAGAGCGACTTCTTCAGCTCTGC